TGATGCATGTGTGTTGAAGGTTTTTATTATGAGTAGCTAAATTAATTAGGGGTGTGATTATTGGAATGGTGATGGTAATTTTCTGAGAAAATCATTATATTATTGTCAAGGGAAATTACTAGTTTTTATTACTGAGAATTTATACTTGAGATTTGTAAATCGAGAGAAGGCAAATCTATTCTTGAAAATTATATTTCTTGAGAAATCTGGAACTTAATTAAGTCAAGCCCAGTAATTTGATAATTGATCTTTAGACATTGGATTGATTGTTAAGTAAGTATTTGAAAAGATACTTACTTACTAGTAAAAAGATTTAAAATAAAAGTAACCGGTGATTTTACTCTAAAAAGAATCATCACCTCACCAATAATTACATCCCTACTCTTTATTCCTGAAAGGTAAAATTCAATCTCCATTCCTTATTCGACTTATTGAAAACTTTTCAATTCAACGAGTAAACCTTGTCTAGCTAGTCTTGCTAAACTTTCCCTTGGGCCGATCCTTGAGACGACACGGGATAAACTGATCTTTTAAAGGTCTAGTCTGTTCCCTTTACTACTACGGGAATTTTGAGTTAAACCAAAATTCTTCACCATTGATATTCTGTGTATATACTTGATTCTTCCATTTTATATAAGTTAACATGAGTGCACATTTGTCTCACCTTGTTGACTTTAGTTCTTGATTGCTTTAGGACAAGCAATGATTTAAGTATGGGGGAGTTGATAAGTTTGGTATTTGTGTATATTTTATTATCTTTTGATAGACTTAGGCTCTGTTCCGTTCAACTTATTTTTCTGATCTGATCTGATTTTCTGTAGTTCAGATCTGATCTGATCTGGTCTGATCTGATCTAATTGGATCTGATCTGGTCTGATATGATCTGATCTGATCTGATTGGATCTCATCTAGTCTGATCTAATCTGATTAATTATGATTGATTTAAAATTCAAATCAATAATATTTGTTTAAATATAAAACTTTTTACTGATTTGTGGTTATGGATTGATTTTAGAGTCCAATTACAAAGAAAAGGATTGAATTGCAAGCAAGGATTACATTGTGGGGCCAATTTAAAATTTCTAGAAGTTTTATTTTCCCAAATCAAATGCTAATCAGACGGAGACGGAGGGAATCGGGCCGCTTTATAAGAGTGCCCTAAAAAAAGGTTTCTCTTATAAAAATGTCAAAAAAGGTTTGATATTATGAGACTACCTTCTATCTACCCTCACTTAAAAGCACGAAAAATTACCATGTGAGATTCCCAAATTACCCCTATTCTTCAAAAGTTATTGTCGAAAGAATCTAATTACGTTCCACAGCCGTTTAACGATTTCCCCCCTTTTTGACCCGACCCAAAATTAACTATTTCAGTTTTCCCCTCCAGCTCCTCAATCGTACGCACACTACACATTTGCTCTGCAAATCGGCAACGTAATTGACAGCAGAGCAAAATGATAAGATTGAGGAACGCGTTTAGAAGCTATTGCGTAGCGTAGAGGAGGAAAAAGAGCAGAAAGAGATTACGGTAAACCCTAATTTTCGATACCCTTAAATTTGATTACAAACCCTAATTTTTCTTTACACTAAAGAGTTACGGAGGAGTAATTTTTCACGAAAAACTCTAATTGAGCCAATTGTGTTATGATTCTACATATCTTATGGTAAACCCTACATATCTAAGATAGAAATAAACCCTACTCTGAAATAAACCCTATTCGAACATAGTCTGCGAAACCATACGAACATTTAGGGAATATTCGGATATGATTATGATGTTTTCGAATATTCGACGTTATTTCGATTGGTCTCGACTATTCGACGTTCTTTCGACAAATTTCGAATATACTTAAATGTGATATTTTATGTTGTTTATGTTTTTTCGGTTGCAGATGGGTACAGATCCTGTTATATTATATGTTGTTTATGGTGGAAAGTGGACCATAGATCACGAAGGGAATTATGTTTACAGTGGATCCGGCAAGAATATAACTTCGTTATTTTGGGATGTTGCTAATTTGGACTTTGATGCCTTTTTGAAAGCCATTATTCAAAAGCTAGGTTGTGATATGAAAAATCAAAGGCCAAAAATTGCATTTCAAATTCAACGGCTTGAAAAAAATATTCCACCCTTTTCCATCGATTCAAGTGAAACACTACATGTATTTCTTTTGGAATTAAAGCAAAACTTTACAGCCTTGCATGTTGAGATGGTTCCAGTTGAACGTGAAGAAAAAGAACAATAAGAGCAAATACATGAAGTCCAAGAACTCTTGGGATTGCAATCAGCAATTGACCCCTCCGTTCCCCTGATTGATTGCGTCCAGGATGACTTCTTCAATTGTATGATTGTTGCTGATCAAGAATCTGGGCGTGATCATGAAGGTATTGTTTTTCAGAAAAATGCAGGGAGGTGTGATCAAAATCCTCAATTCGTTGAGTCTAATGTCACTCCTGTGAAGAGCCCAGCAACTGCTCAAGTGGATGAAGATGATTATATGGGTGGTGATAATGATGAGTTAAATGAGGACGAGTGCTTTATTCGGAGGGATGATCCTTCTTTTGATATGTCTTTTGGTAATGAGGTAGACGCGACATTGGATGGTGGCTTTGAAGATGGGTCGGATTTGGCCATCGGACTTGAGTTTGCTGACAAAAGAGAGTTGAAGAAGAAGATGGATGATGTTTCCATACAAGGACATTTTGAAACAAAGACTGTGAAGAGCGACAAGAAGAGGTATGTATTGAAATGCAAGAGTGACAAATGCTCTTGGATGATGATGGCATCCATCATAAAAAACACATCTCGATTCGCTATTAAAAAATTCAACGGGAAACATATTTGTACAGTTGGTGACCGTAGCCGAACACACAGCCAAACAACTTCGAGATATGTCTCAAATTAAATCTTAGAGAGTTTTGATGGGACGGATGATTTAATTAGGCCCAAAAACATCATGACTTTCATGAAAAACAAGAGCATGCCGATCACATATGCAAAGGCTTGGTGGAGTAGGAAGTTCGCAAATGAAGCCATGTTTGGGATGCCCGAGACTAGTTACGAAAAGCTTCCATTATACTTGCACATGTTGAAGAAAGCAAATAATGATCTTGTAACAACCCACCTAGAACTTGATGAGGGGGGTGCTTTCAAGTATGTATTCATAGCATTTCATGCATGTATTTCTGGATTTCAAGCATTGAGGCGTGTTATTGCCGTTGACGGAACCTTTCTTAAGACATCCTATAAGGGTGTTTTACTCATTGCAATGGCTCAAGATGGTGACTTTCACCAATATCCCCTTACCTAGGCTATTGTGGACTCTGAAAACAACGACTCATACTCTTGGTTTTTTGGCCATTTAAGGAAGTTAATTCCTGATTCTGGAGACTTGGTGTTCATTTTGGACAGACACATTAGCATTCGAAATGGGATAAGAAAGCACTATTCGGCTGCGGATCATGGATTGTGTAGGTATCACATCACTTGTAGTTTGAGGAAGCGTTTTCCAAAGATGTGCAAAAAGGGGTTGGATAAACTTTCTGAGAACCTTGCAAATGCATACACCAAACGGTCATTCAAGAGGTTGTATGGCGACTTGAAAGCAAGGTACCCAACTGCTGGCAATTACATTGACAAGATCCCAAAGAAAAGATGGGCCAGGGCGTATTTTGAAATAAACTGGTACCAAATCATGACGACAAATTGCGCCGAATCAATCAGTAGCATGTTGAGGGAGGACAGGGAACTTCCTATTGTTGCACTTTTAAAAGCAGTCCAGAACATGACTTCAAGATGGCGTGGAAAAAGGCAACAAGAGTTAAGGTCTCTCGATGAGTCAAATCTCCCTGTTACCCCAGCTGTTGAAGCTGAAATGTGCAAGAGATTCAACACTGCCTTGCGCTTGGAGTGTCATCAGTTGAATCAATACGAGTTTGAAGTCAAGGGAGTGCACTCTGACCATGTCGTTAACCTTTCAAATAAAACTTGCACCTGCCAAGTGTTTGACAAGGATAAGATACCTTGCGTGCATGCACTCGCTTGTTCAGAACGCACATGCATAGATTGTTATAGCCTGTGTAGTAAATTATACACAAAGGAATACATGTATATCGCATACGCGGAAACAATCTACCCCATGCCACATGAAGATGACTGGGATGCCGATGGAATGGAGCTCATAGAAGTCAAACCCCCTACATTGAACAAGCAAAGAGGAAGGCCAACAACGAAAAGATTTCCATCGGACGGCGAGGCACGAAAAAAATATAAATTGACATGTTCTGGTTGCCAAGGAAAAGGGCATACAGTACGGACATGCGCAAAGAGACCTCGTAAAGACACATCTACGACGAATGACTTGAATAATACTGATTGCATGTAATTCGGTTTTCGACGTCCGAACCAACCAAGTGGTTTGCAGTATTTTATACTTTGGTTTTACCTACGGGCATATTTAAAGGTTCCCAAACAATTGTGTTGTAAAAACCACTTGTGTATGATGGTCAATCGATCTAAACACATGAAAAATCGGTCAAAGCGGTCAACGCGTGACTTACGACCTCGAAGACTTAGTTTTTAATGATGAACAAGTCTTGGTCTCTCTATTTTATACCATATACGATGTTTTTCAACATTAGTTTTTACTTTTGGGAACACTTTGTTTTTGGACCTCAGTTTTTCAAGTTGGGTTTTTGCTGGCTAGGGCTGAGTGATATTTGATTGTCACTCTTCAACAATCGATTATCAGCCCCTGCAGTTTTTAAACTCTTAGTTCAGAACCATCCAATAATCGATTATCACATATTGACAATCGATTGTCATGGTTTCATTGCAAACCCAGATTTTTTCAGAGAGGTTTGATAGTCGATTATCAAAACTTGATAATCGATTATCAGTGTGACCGTTGCCCTCCAACGGATTGAACTTTAAATTTTTGGACACAGAATCTTTTGATAATTGATTATCATGTTATGATAATCGACTATCACTTTGTGATTCTGAAAAATTTGTCCTGATCCTTGTTGGAGTTCTTGCAACGGCAACACCATCTTTTGGCCTATAAATTGGCACCCAAAACCTCTCATCTTTCATATTTCTTAGCTTTTTGTGAGCCAATTCTTGAAGAAATTGTCGTATTCTAGAGCATTTATTAGTTCACTGATATCTACTCTTTAAGAGAGCTTTTATTTCTGAGTGTTTAAGTGTTTTTACACACTTGAAGGGAGGTTTGTTCCCTTGTTGTAGTTCGAATGAAGTTTTCATTCCTTTGTGTGAAGTCTTGGAGTGCGTATCTCTAAGTAAGTGGCTTTGAGGCTCATGTGACTCGAGTTCTCAAGTGTTATCGGTTTGTTAAGCACCTTTAAGCTTAACAGAGGTAGTGTAACTCGAGAGAGTCTCTCAGGAGGCTGGACGTAGCCACACGTTGTGGTGATCCAGGGTAATATACAATGTGCTCCTTCTTATACTCTTTACTTTATCTTCCTCGTTTTAAATTCGTGTGATTTTGTTTTAAACACTATTCACCGCCCTTTAGCGTTGGGCCTTTATTCTAACAAATACGCAGTGGTATAACAACATAGATCCAAACGTATTCATACCTGTACCATACAAACGTGTATCACATGCTAGTTCAGATAAATAAACAAGATGAGCTTCATGATGCATGAGTTAGCCATGCAAGGACCCCTTGCGCTCCGAGATCACTCGAGGAGGGTTATTATTCGGGCAAACCTTAGTCTCATGATGAGACTAAAATAGTTGTGGGTGGCATCCGAGAAACTAGATTACCATGTATTACACTATGTAACGGTTCAATCAGATCTTAATTTGGAGAAAATTGGACCAAAAGTGTACTCCAAATGGGACCAAAACTAGTCCCAATTAGGGACAATGTATAAAATTTCAGATGTGGCTCCGCTCCTTCCACTAACTTGAAATCGCCGAATAGCTATAGCGACTCTATTGGTTGTTTCCTCCTTTACTCCTCTATATAAGCCAATTCAATATTCCTCATTTCTTCACCAAATCATCATATTCTTCTTCCTATTCTGTTGCTCAGAGTGAGGAGAACACACTGGTGCTGTCAATTTGGTGAGAGGTCACAAGAGTTGGGAGTTATTGTTGAACAACTTATGCACCTCTAGAGGGGAGGTGAATAGAGGTGTTCTTCAGTAATCAAAATTTTGGAAGAATAAACAAAAGTTCGCAGGAGTAAATCAACCACAGGACAAAGATGAAGAGAAGGAGCAACACACGATGTATCCTGGTTCGGCCTAATGCCTACATCCAGTCCCCGAAGCAAAACGTGCCCGAGATTCCACTAACTTCGTCAAACTTAACGGAGTTTGACAATCCAATTACAACTCGAGAACTTGAATGAATTCGCAAGCCTCTAACCTTTCCACCGAAGTCTTGATTTCACAAGACTCAGGATTTCTCTCCAAAACTTGAATTATATCAACTTCAAGTTTTTACAATTCACACATCGTTTCAAAACAAAGTGCACAGCGGAAATACTCTTCAAATTAAGAGTGGATTGCTATAGAATACAAGAACTTATAGAGTATGGCACACTAGTACTCTTCAAAACTCAAGCAAATATTGATTTCTTGAAGAATTGCTTGGAAGTAAAGTTGAAGGATCAAAAGTATGAATTGAATTGCTTGGATTTATAAAAGAATATGTTTGAATGGATATATATAATGTTCTTCAAGCAAAAGAGCCGTTGTAAGTGAGTTATGGAAGATAGGGATGGATAACTTCCTTTAAAACTGACAAAACTGCAGTTCAAACTGACGATTTATTCGAATAAAATCATATTTATCCGAACAGTAATTACTTAAAAATTAAAGCGGATGAAGATATGTGTGAGCGGTTGCATTCAATTCGGGTAGATAAAGAGCGGTCAAATCAGCTTTTATTACTTTCGTTAATTTCTAAGAGCTCAGGAAGTTAAATGAGATATAATTTCGGTCATTAATAATAATAATAATAGTGATAATAATAATAATAGAGAAGGCCGTTGAGATAAACAAATATCCAAAAGGAATAATCTTCGACTGTCCCGACTAATATTTGAATGCATTTCGAATGGACTTTATTACCCTTATTACATGGATCACATGATTGCATGGAATTGCATGGAGTTGCAAGTAAACACCAGTAACTAATATTACGGGATTACATTCTAAAACTTGGTTCATATAAAACTACATAAAATTCAATAATTCCATGAAATTAGCTCGGGTCGATCTTTTAGTAATTTCTTTTTTATCTCTTCAATATTCTGATCTCTACACAAGCTGCTACACTGCTAGCACGAATTACGTACTCTTCGTTTGAATCAATGTTGCAGTAGTAAAGATGGGTTTTACCAGAATCCCAATCATCATGTGATTGCATGGAATTGCATGGAGTTGCTTCCCTAGAACACGACAATAATGTGCAGTGGAGTGGAGTGGAGAATGGTTGATTCTGTGTTGTTTCCTTGTGGAAAACACGACAATAACCACACCAATTGCTTCCCTACACGAGATAATGCAGAAGATGCCGTGGAGCATCTTCTGCAGTAATGGATAAAACGGATAATGGTATACGAGATAACCATTATGACCGTTTTGCCTTATCGAGCTAACCATTAGGACCGTTTTACAATCAATGAAAGAAAGGTGAGAAGTTTTGATGATTGTAAAGAAATAGGCTTGTAGAATATGGAATACATTGAAGAAAGTGTGTTTATAATCTGGAGAGGGTGCAATGTATTTATAGGGAGGGGGGCGTATTTGAATGTTTGCATGTATTCGAAGGGTTAAAGTTTTGCATTTACGTGTTTGCATTTAATGTACATGTTTGCATAATATACGTGTTTGCATTTAATTCGCGTAGACGAAGGGTTAAAGTTTTCTTTTATTTTTAAGACTTAACATGTATGAATTGTGTGTGCACGGTTTGCATTTAATTCGCGTAGACGAAGAGTGGTCAATTCAGATTTTATTACTCTCGTTTATTTCTAAAATTTCACTAGCTTAAATTGAATGGAATTTCGTTCATTAAAAAAAATACTAAAATCAGCAAAATTGAGGAATAAAATTTCGATCTAAAATAAAAAAAATTGAAGAATAATATTGAGGAATTAATTTCGGAATTTCGATCATTTCGACCACATTTGAAATTTATTCGAATGCATGTTATAAAATAAGAGATTACACAGTCAGGCATCTTTAAGAGATTAATTTGAAAACTAAAATCAGCAAAATTCGACCTTCTCGATGAGTATTTGACCACATTTCGAATGGGACTATTACACCCTAAAAAAGAATTATTGTTTTATAAATTACGTTACTTTCAATGACTAATGGAAGTTTATAATTAAAAGTGCAGTGAAAGGAAATTATGGTGCGAAGTGAAAGTAGAACAATAATCTGTTGTTGGTGAAGGGAATCTCTCCAAACAATAAAACTTCTGAATTTTAATATAAAAAGTTTTTATTAGAAAATACATAAAATCAAACTTCAAATACGCATAAAAATACCCTTATGCGTATTTCAGGATATGGATGAGAAAATCACAACCACCAAGATGATCAAGAAACATTACATGACTCTCATTGAGGCCGTGATTCTCAACAAACGCTGGCCATGATTCCCTGAAGAACATATTGCCATGGCTGCATGCTTGAACCTTTACTTTAAAAGTGTGTGGCGCTAGTTTAGAATGGAGAGTCACAACTGTGTTATCCGGGAAACAAGATTGAACATGTCGGGGTAGCTCCTACAACAGATCCAGAGAATTTGTGAGTTATAAAATATAACTTTAAAAAAAATTAAGAAAATATAATGAAAAATATATGAACAAACCAGTCGCTCTTTGAACTTGGGTCCTTGCCCGAGGATTACTGTAAAATCGAACATAATGATCTTTTTTATTTTCGACGGAATAGAAGAATGAGAAAACCCTAAAGCTAATTGCGTACTTATATAGACCGAGCAAGGCGGAAAGGGACGAAAATGGTAATAGACGGGAATTTTTAGAAGAGTCCCGCCATTTCATGAATAGGCGGGACGGGAAAATTTAGTCCGCCATTTCATGAAGGGACGGGAAAATTAGTCCGCCATTTCATGAAAAGGCGGGACGGGAAAATGTAGTGGATGTAGCAATCCAATTAAGAGTTTAAATGTAGCAATTATCTTCAAACTTCGAACCGTGTTAATGAGAAGTATTATAAATAAAAATAGTAAAAACTGTAGCAAGGTCGTACTTGTTGGTGTTAAGAATTAAGTTCAGACTGTAGTAGAGGTAGTAGTCCAGTTAAGAGTTTAACTGTAGCGGTAGTCGTACCTTTTGGTGTTAAGAATTAAGTTCGGACTGTAGCGGATGTA